CATTTGTTTTCTTTTCCTCTAACAGCTCTCATTTCTATTGTTTGATTTACATTGGCTAACAATGAGCTATTTTAAGCAAATAAGCAAGGCATCTCATTCCCTGGGTAATTGTTTGTCTAGGTCTAACCACTTCTTTCCTCCTATTTCAGTTGCCTAGGAAGGAACTGGTTGAGGTTAATAGGGTTGTATCATATCCTAAGTTCATAAGCCACTGTTATACTAAGGTTAAAGCCTAAACTTGTAATATAATAAAAACGGGGGAGGGGAGTCTCTTAGTTTTTTAGGCTGCTGTAACAAAATATCATAAACTAAGTGGCTTATAAACATCAGGAATTTATGTCTCACAGTTCTGGAGGCTGGGAAATCCAAGATCGAGGCACCAGCAGATTAAGAGTCTGGAGAGAGGGGCGCCTGGGTGGCGCAGTCGGTTAAGCGTCCGACTTCAGCCAGGTCACGATCTCGCGGTCCGTGAGTTCGAGCCCCGCGTCGGGCTCTGGGCTCAGAGCCTGGAGCCTGTTTCCGATTCTGTGTCTCCCTCTCTCTCTGCCCCTCCCCCGTTCATGCTCTGTCTCTCTCTGTCCCAAAAATAAATAAACATTGAAAAAAAAAAATTAAAAAAAAAAAAAAAGAGTCTGGAGAGAGCTGGCTTCCTCATAGATGGCTGTCTTTTCACCATGACCTCAGATGGTGGAAGGGCTTTCTTTGGCCACTTTTCCTCCTACCCACCATCACTTTGGGGGGGGGGGGGCTTAAGATTTCAACACATGAATTTGGGGAGGGGACACAAATCTATAACAAGGGAAAAAACTATGATTGTACTCCTTTCAGTTTTAACCTCAAAAAAAAAAACCAAAAAACCTATTTGGTATTTGGTATCTGTTTGGTATTTTGCTTGTGAAACACGGTTTACACTAATAGTGTTTATTTAACAATCATAAATCACCAATAATATGTATTCAAGTATGAATTGGAATATAGTATTTTAAATTACTGATTTATTGATGATTTACTAGATTTTATAGGCAGACTTAGTCTTTTGTAATAGTTGATAAGCTCAGGTAAGTTCAGATACTCTTAGAAATGTCTGATGAAAAAATTGTTTCTAACAAAAGCATAAAGCATAGCAAACTTTTACCTTCAAAATTAAAAAGCTTTTTATTTTCATGCAATACCATAAATTTAGGACTCCAGAAATACTACACATGTATAACACAAGTAATTATTAAAGGTTAAAACCATAAAGCGTTTTAATTGTTTCAATGCAAAGGCCATGCTTTAGACTTTTAATACTGGGCACTCAGTATCTATCTAGGACCAGGTCCAAAGTTTACATCCTTGGGTACTAGGTGGATAACACTGTTGAACCTCCCAGCTGCCCAGCTCTAGTGAGCAGTTAACACATTTAATAGATTTAAAAATCCATTCCCAGGAAGTTTAGTCCACCCACGCCCCCCCTTATATTTTAAGCGATGATTATAACAAATGATAGTATAAAAAAATTATACATGTATGTCAACCACCCTTTCATAGTTTTATTTTCTCAGATGACTATATATTAAAAGCCAATTAAATCTCCTTGAGCTTTAGCAGATTGAACACTATGAATGCGAAACGTAACAAAACAAAACAGTATGAGGTTATTGCACATTTGATTATTTTCTTTCCTCAAACATTCTTTTGTAACTGGACAACTGTTAGGCATCTAAACATGATCAAAGGTACCATTTACTTAAAACCTACTATGTGTTAACCACTAACATATTTCATTCTAACAACTATGAGAAATTAAAATTATCCCCATTGTACACACAATCTGAGACTCTGAGGGATTAAATAATTTGATAGAAGATTACCTAGCTAGCAAGTAAAGGAACAAAGATACAAAACAGGTCTATTCCCAAATCCTGTGCCAATGATAACATCAAAGACTCATCTTTGGCTGTAATGCCCAAGTAATGTTACGCTACTACTTAAAACTTAAAAAAATAAAAAAATAATTTACCTCGGACTATGGTAAAATACTATTAACTATTGTTACTATATAGGCCAATGGCTACATTTAGCATCTTAAATTATCTCAAAGTACAGAAATTTTCCTAAAAGACTTTTGCTTAATCAATTAGCAACATGGACCAATGCTTTCCATAGCCTCCATAAAAATAAACTGGCAGACACTGGCTGCTAACAAGGTACTTTCTAGTTGTTTGCACTTTCTACTTCTACCAGTTGAGTTGTATGCTTCATTACAATCTGGTGTTTGTTCTCAAAAGTTATTTATAATACCACCCTATTTATAATAACTAATTTATTTAAATAATATATAAATCAATGAAATGCGTGCAAAAAAAGTTTATTTCTGTGAAAACTGCTGCATGCTTTGGAAAGAACATATGTGATGAACATGTATTCCCTCCCCTTCTGAAACAAATTCCTATTGACTTCTGTATATACAAAACGTGTATAAAATTGTGTGAAACATTAATAATTTTAAAATGTTTTTAAATATAAAAGATACCATCCTCACAATGCTCTGCAAGTCTTATTTCACTTTTAAGAAAGCGAAACTAGAAAACTAGAAAAAAACAAAACAAACTAGAAATCTTAGGTGCACATTATTGGTGTCATTTATATAAGAGCATATGAAACTCTGAAAAACTGACCCTATTTAACCCCCCAAAAGAACCCTGAGCCTGCATAAAAACACAGGTGAATTAATTAAAGCTGTTATATTTATGGTTCCTCACTGAAACTGACTTTTTAAACTAGCCACCCAACTACTTATTTAGAAACTCTCTGAAGCACAGCTGTATCCTGCTAAGCAAATATCTCAGAGTCTCTCTCTACACTAGAATTCACACACTTTACTCAGATTCTCATAGAAATCTGAAGGGTTCTCCTATTTACTCATTTTATAGAGAACTCAGTGTTAAGTATAGTTACCAAGTTCTCTAGCCCAGAGACCAAAAGCAGTGAAATTAAAAGGAGGCAAGAATAAACATTAACAGCAAAGACTGCTGACAGCAGCAACAATTAAATGAGAATTTAAAAATCAGATCTCACAAAAAAACAAAAAAGGAGACGTGATTTAAGTTAGAGGCAAAAACAAAAACAAAAACCCCAAACCCAAAAAGCTCATAAATTTAAATCTCTCTGTAGGGCCTTTCTAGCCCTGTTTTAGAGGTCTGTCCATACATCATGATTAGAATTGAAAATATTTTTGGCATTTAAAGAGTAAAGTTTCAATTATACAGAGAATTCACTCAGTTTCTTAGACACGGACGTAGAAGCAAATGAATTATTACTGTCATTTAGCTAAGTACTGCCCATCATGTGCCTTTCCAACTGCAGGTCAAGAAATCCATTCAATGGGTTGTGACAGCAGTTTTTAAAAATAGAAATAGAACAGAAAAGACAAGACCACACTCACAGAGTAAGGGTAAGTACGTTTTGTGAAAAGTTTATTTTTGTATTTCTATACTGTTTGGCAAAGTAAAAGATCCTTTAGGCCATGGGCCTAAAGATCCGTATCATCATGATGAAATATAATCATAATACTAAACTTGCAATTCTATCATTTTTACATCATAAGGCTAAAGAAAGCTACAATTTTCAAGAGAAAAAATTTATTCTTATTCTATTTATTCTTAATGAATAAAGGTATTTATTTTTCCTAGTAATCTGTATCAGCACATAACTAACATTTTATTGTGTTTGGTACCAGTTTTGGCTAAAATAGAGATGTGTGCAAATATTATTTTTTTTAAGCTGCTTACAGCCTTAAAGCAAATTTTAACAACAACAACAACAAAAAACCCCAAAACAAATAGCTGCTTTTATTTTATTTATTTTGACATGCAATTACTGATCTTGGTGCCATTTTTCCAAAGTCACTGATGTACTCTAAAAATCTCAACTTGGCATTCTACACAAGGAACCTGCTTAGTAACAATACACTTACTAATACTTCATGCATACATAGCTGATTTTTTAAAAACAGCCAAACACTTAAAACTAATTTAAACCACTAACTTAAGCATGGCTTTCTCCACTTCTTCCTGGTGCATTTTAAAAGGCACCATTAGCAAAGCCCTATTTTAAAACTAGAAAAGAAAAAGCCTTTGAATACACTTTGAAAAAAATAAGGAAATAATATTTTATTACATCTTTTAAAAAATGAGCATCTCATTTATATGAAGATAAATTACTATTTCCAATCCTAAAGTCTCAACTCTGTCATCTAGTCCAACTCTGTACCAAATACAATAATCCTCTTCCAACAACGTTCCGTGGAATCAAACCCGCATCTAAAAGTCTTCACTCCTAACTACTACTATATTAATAATCTCCTAAACTTGGTCCTTGTCATTAATCAAAAGGTTGATAAATTAGTGTTTAATTCCTTTTAAATCCTTGAAAAACAGAGTATACGTTATTCTCATAAATCCTGAAAATACAGGTTTAGAAAGGAAAGGACACATTTAAGGCTCTGGACTGCTTTGCAAACTTTTAGAGTTTGCCTAAAGCACAAAAATCAGCTAATAAAAGCACTAACAGTAATAGAACAGTATTTGTCAACTCAATCTTAAATTTTCTCAGTTTATCAAGTTCAAGTTCTCCAGTTGAAAGTTTGTAAACCGTAAAGTTGAAGTTAGATTGACGTTACCAGAAAAAAAAAAAAATTGTGACTCTAAAAACATGTCAAGTATTGTGGCAACGGATACAAATGCTGCTCCTGGTAATTTCATTTTGAGTGACACTAGAGTATCTCTTGAAATTACTACTTTCCAAACACTTCTGAAGAATATATCCTGCCATCTAGATTCTAACTCTGTCTTCCTTGTGCCCTCCTCTACCTCACCTGCTGGAACCTATAACAGAAACAAGTGGGCATATGTAACAAGCAAAGAATTGATCCTGCCAGAGAATTAGGTTAACACTTACAAACCGGGGCACAAAAAAAAAAAAAAAAGAAAAAAATCCTACTGAAGTAAGTCATTTACCTCGGTCTGGCTTCATTTTCACATCCAATTTCCACCCAAGGTGCTGTGAAATACACTTGTGGGTTCTTTCAACAAGCTCGCCGCTGATCCTGTGGCTACAGCTCCGTTTTCAAAATGCTGAAAGAGACCAAAATAAAATTAATCCGGCCAGGCTCTGATACCCAGACCTTGCAAGAAAACTACTGTGAACAGGCCTCTTCCTGGCAACTAACTGCGGTGACAGCAACCCTCGGCAGCTCCGAAAAAAGCAAAACTCTCTGTGCACGGCCTGCCCCATCTCCTCCGGACCCAGCACCCCTCTTCCCGCCCGTGTGCTCTCCAGGCCAAAGTGTCCTTCCTTGACACAGCGTCTCTGAACCAAAAGAAAGATCTATTTATAACCTGGAGGTACAGGCAAGAAAGAAAAAAAAAAAAAAAAGGTTCAAGCAACACGAGCTAACTAACCCCTTTGTAAAAAACGCCGCTGGGAACAGAGGCACCTCCGCACTGGCTGGTATAGAAATTCTCCGTCCAGGTGCCCGGGCGCAGGAAACTCTTCACGACCCCTAGCGCCTCGCCAGGAGCCCCGCCCGCCCCCGAAGGGCCTCACCTGTGTAATTACCCTCTGGCTAGCCTTCGTGTGGCAACCGCGGCCAAGTTTACACAATAAGAGGGTCAGAAAGAAATGCGAGTCATCTTCTCGCGCCCAGCCCCCAGCCCCAAACGAACTCTACGGGGCTGTCCCGGGTCGTCGCCCCCCCCCCCCCGCCACACGCCCCAGACCCCCCCAACCCTGACTGGCCCGACCTGAGGTGGGCCTGAGGAGGGGTGTTTACAGCTGGGCGCTCGCCCCTGCTCGGCGCAGCCGGCCCGCTGCGGGCGCCTTCCGTCCCTCCGCGGCCCCGGATTTCCTTCAGCCTCGCCGCACCGAGCGCCGCGCCAGCCCCTCTTCCCGCCGGAGAGTTGTTTTCATGGCTCCCTCGGCCGACCTCTGCTGACTAACTCTCTCTCCTCGCCCGTCCCAAACCCTCCTCCTCTTGGCACTTCTCTGCGCCGCTCGCCCAGCGGCTCACATCACACTCCCACCTCAGACCCGAGGCTCCGAGAGGCACAGGGCCGGCGAGAGCGGAACGTGGCGCGCAGCGGCCCCCGGGGCTGCGTTAGAGGACCATGGGGGCCCGAGACGACAAGCCCGACGCGGCTCCCGGGCGCCCTTGTGGCCATCCACCCCCGCCTCAGCCGCCGCCTCGCTTCACTCCCAGCGCTCAGCCCGTCCCCCTGCCCGACTCGCACCCGAGCCCCGCGGCCCCCGGGCTTCGCCCGCCCGTCGCCCCGGCCGGCCCGCTTGCCCCGCGCCTTTGCCAGCTCCTCGCCCGCCCGCTGTCTCTAGCTCTGGCGCCCCAGCTCCCGATCCCCCTCGCTCGCCCAGTTCTTTCTCTGCTGTTTGCCCTGTCAAAACACTGCCCGGGTCACGTGTCCCAACAACAGCCAACCCACCGCTCGTCACTTCCTCCCCGGCGGCCTCCGCGGCTGGCGCCCGGTTGTTATGGCAACACCCCGCACGCCCCGGGCCGCTAGCCCCGCGGCCTGCGTTTCGGTGCAGGTGCCCGACTGCTGCGCGGGCGCGGGGGAACGGCAGCTGCGAAGGGCTGACAGAGCCTGGGAGGCCCGGGAGGCGCGAGGCGCTGCGGCCCCGCTCGGCCCCTGGCCGCGCTGAGAGCCGGCTGCCGCGCGTCTGGGACCAGGAATCCGAGCTGCGCTATTAGAACACAGGGTGACTGGGGAGATGTCATCCCGGGCCTGCCCCAGACGTGGAGGATAATTATAGTCTCCTCCTCCTCCACATGGGATGTTGGCTCTGGGTTGTGACCGAGCCCCAGTGGATTGCAGCACACGGTGGAACCCGGGTCTAATGTGGCAGGAGAGGGGGCAGCCAGGCGCATCAAGGAGTGAGGAGTTCAAGAGCAAGAAGCCCCTCTCACTCTAGATTTTCCTAAATCCCTAGAGGTTTTAAGTAGAATTCGGAACCCAAGCTCCCAAGATACTCGCTGTGCTAAAAATAACTTTTATAACGTCTAAAACCCTGACTCATGGCAGGAAGACACTTTTGACACCATGTTATTGTTGAGGAGCTGTAATTTTGTTGTCCTATAACAATGTGACATGATGACATTTCGTGTTGTGATGTGTCATCACTTCAACACAAACAGATGACAAGGATCTGCAGTAATTAAAAAAAAAAAAAAAAAAAAGGCAGTCCTAACAAGGGCTGAAGCTATTAAGCTACTCAGTTTATAGACAAAGTACATAGGGGGTTGTGAGCTCAAAACAAAGTACCAAATCTGCAATGCTCTTGATGTCATATGAAAAGGTTTTTGTTTTTTTTTAATGAAATAATTTTGCATTTAAGAATCAAAACCGGAAAGTATCATGGTAAGTCTAAAGGTGATTTATTTTAGGGGCACCTGGGTGGCTCAGTCAGTTAAGCATCTGACTCTTGATTTTAGCTCAGGTCATGTTCCCACCCACTGGTGGGATCAAGCTTCCCATGGGCTCTGTATTGACAGAGCAAAGCCTGCTTAGGATTCTTTCTCTGCCCCTCCCTTGCACTCTCTCAAAATAAACATTTTTTAAAAAGGTGATTTACTTTATAGTTTTTGTACTCCTTTGTGGTTTCCAAAGTTTTACAGTATTACTTTTACATCAGAAATTTTTGCATTTTTTTGCCTTACATCAAATACATGAAACTTCAATTAAGAAAAATACTAATTTTCTAGATGTTTTGATATATACAGTAAAATCACATGGACAACTGCAATGATTAACCTTAACTCTAAGATTGTATCTAACCAAAACAGGGCAGAACATTCATGAGGGTAACATTTCATTTTCAGGAAAATGTTCTATCATGAAGATGAAACTTCTGGCAAATGGCAACAGTTCCTTAGTCTCTGTAATGGCTACAAATCTTAACTCCTAGTGGACCTGATTCTGATATTAGTGAATACTCTAATATGTAGTTTCCTTTGCGAAGTTTTACTTGTTCTACAAACACCTCTCGATTAACCTTGGTAATGGGAGACAGAAGGAACACTTCCAGATAATCCAAAATCCTAAATTTAGCACAACAGCTGGGACCAGATAACAGCTATTGTAAAAGGCTTAGTAAGTGAACATATCTGGAAGCCAGATCTGCGATTTAGCTCCTTTTCCCTCTGCCTATTTTGCAAAAGGTATAAAGACCAGAAAAAATGTTGAGAGCTGAAGTTGAGAATATTGGATAACATGGAACACAAATTAGAATAATTCTGTTTTCCATAATTCAGTTTTAATAGCACATAGATAAATGATGATGTCTGAACATTTCTTAGACTAACTTGAAGATTTTTATTAGGAATCCTAAATCTGTTTAACAATCGGAGATCATTATGTCAAAGGAAAGAGTACTTAAAAGTGTTATTTTTGACCCATTCTTCAAGTTGTTTCATTCACTTAACACACATTTACTGAACACTCATTATTTGCTAGGCACATCCTAGTCTCAGAATAAAAGGTGATGAAAAACAGGGTCACTTTTCTTATGGAGCTTACAATACTGACTATGGCATAGCTTTGGTCAAGTCACATTCGAGAACCTTTTTTCACCTGTAAAAATGAAGCGTTTTAACTCTCACAGAAGGTAATTTCTTTCCTTTCTAAAACAATTCTATTATTGGAGAAAACATATCCAGAATGGTTGGAAATAAGGACCCTCCCACAATGGCAACTCTAAGTGTTCGTGATAAATGTGTTTGCACTTTGGGGCGCCCAAGCAAAACAAACATCTCTGGTTCCTACTTGGTGAGGGGTAAGGGTCAGCAAAGCAAGGAAGTCAAAACAGCTGACAGGAATCCTCCCCTTTTTCTATCTGATTTGCTCTCCATTTTGCTTTCCCCTAGTGTTCCAAAGACGTATAATTAATTTCAAAAAAAAAAAATAATAATTCTTCAGCAAGGACGTAATCCCCTCAACTTTTACAGGTTTTGTTGTAGTAGTATGTAACAAAACCGTATTTAATGGAGGTCTCTATTAGTTCTTTCACTGAGGTGTTGAGGATAACTGGTTTGCCCACTTTATTAATACAGGGCTGTTACTTTACCAAGATCATGGAATGAGTCCAGGGTACCCGAATGAGCTCTACCAAAGTAGAGATGGGCACCCTTTTCTTCTTGTATCTCTAGCACTAAGCAGAGGACCTGGCACAGAATACATGTCAAACTTTATATTAACCAATAAAATTTTCGTTTACATGCCCCAAAACTGTACCCCGAATAGTGATTGACATTTTCTCTCTAGTAGGTTAAAGCTAGAGCATTGGGAAATCAGTTAGTGGCACAAACTTCACATGTGAAGGAGAGGTTTTCACTGTCCTTGATGTACTGTCCCGTAATAGTAGGAATGTCCTGGTTTGAATTGTGCCCCCCAAAATATTATGTTGAATTCCTAATCCCTATACTTGTGAATGTGACCTTGTTTGGAAATAGGGCCTTGCAGATATAATCAAGTTAAGCCCAGGTCATAATGGATTCAAGTGGGCCCCTAAATCCAACTACTAGTTTCCTAATAAAGTGAGAGCAATTTGAAGACAGAGGAGACAGGGAAGGTGGCCATGTGACAGAGACAGGAATGATACAGCTGCAAGCCTAAAGAATGCAAAAGATTGCCTGGAGCTACCAGAATTTAGCAGGAAACGAAGATTTTCCTCCCAAGAATTCAGAGGGAGTATGGCATTGCCAATACCTTGATTTTGCCCTTCCCACTTTCAGAACCATGAGAGAATAATTATCATTGTTTTAAGGCACTCAACTTTGTTGTATTTTGTTACTGTAGCCTTAGGGAACTTACCTAGAACTCTAACAATATTGCTTTAATTTTTTTCTTGGCTTGTAAATTGTATTGCGGATATTGTAAGTTTTCTAAAGTTCCAGGCTCCGAATGGTCACCTAAATATGGACATCTTCAATTCTGTAATAATTACAGTAAATCACTTGCAAATGTGAAAAAAAAAAAAACTCTCAAGTGTGGAAGAACAACTTTGACCATAGATAAAGGATGATCATGACTAAGTGGTTGAGAATCATGAATTGAAAATACACTATTTTAAATATGGTGAATGGCCAATCTGTTTCATCATAAAATAATGAACAGTACAATTAACATGTAGATAAAGCTAGTCTTGCATTATAAGTAAAAAAAAAAAAAATCGAATTGTGTACTTTTAGTTCTTGAAATAACAAGAGGAAAGGCAAGCTATCTTTTCAGAAAGCTAACTTGCTTCCAATGGTTCACTTAAATTCATTGCAGTTCATTTGTTTCTAAGGGAGAAAGATTGTGGAGTTGTTGCTAAGGTATTGTTTCTAATAAACAATCCTCCACCTTCCCTTAAATTGACTGGCTGGGTTTTTTTTTTTTGTTTTGTTTTGTTTTTTTGTTTTTGTTTTGTTTTGTTTTGTTTTGTTTTGAGGCTCCGGTTTGTCTACCTTCTATGACCACAAGTATAAGGAAATGAAAAGTGATTCTACTTCCTGTCTGCAGAAGTGACTGTAGTACTTAGAAATACAAAAGCATCTAAATTTCAAGCCATGGAAACCCTTAATCAGATTTGCTGAGCTGCTAGAAGTCTCTGAGTCATCGAGTTTTAACATCTTTTGAAAAGTTAGTAATTGTTCATTTTTGTAACAGTAACTGTGCTTAGCAGTTCACAGATATTATACATTTGATCCTGTTACCACCTTCTTATCTCGTGGATTAGGAAACAGGCTCAGAGAGGTAACATTCCCAAAGCTATAGTTACTAAGTAGAAGGAGTCTACTTCCTTTAATGAGCTCATTTAATGTCTTTAACATTATGAAGTTAAATTATTCCAAAATATTTCAAATGGGAAAACTAAGTCTCAGGAACACTGAAAATGGTTGCACATTTATAATGTCAACTGGTTTATATAAACTTAGGCTCAATGCTTTGAGGTACTAGTTCTAAATAAAATGGTTCTGTTTTTGTTTTTTTAATTGTTTTTAACGTTTATTTACTTTTGAGAGAGAGAGACAGAGCATGAACAGGAGAGTGGCAGAGAGAGAGGGAGACAATCTGAAACAGGCTCCAGGCTCTGAGCTGTCAGCACAGAGCCCGAAACGGGGCTCGAACTCACAGACCGTGAGATCATGACCTGAGCCGAAGTTGGACGTTTAACCAACGAAGCCACCCAGGTGCCCCTGTTTTT